GACACGCAAATGTATGACGTCACCATTTCAACCATCAATGAACGCATGGAACTAAAACAAAGCTTAATATAAAGGAAAAACTAGAGAAGTGACGGAATTACCTACGATGTCGGAATATACCGCGTTTACCCTATTTAGGTATAGGCCTAGTCTAATAAGTCTACTGACTACTGTCTGGCCATGCTTCAGCCAGCTGAGCCAGGTAATTTGGTCAATTAAAAAATATACCTAGTCAAGGCCGGGGATGGCCCGCCGGGTCAGGGCCACCGGCCATGGAAAATGGAAATGGTTACTGGTGAGTGACATGACATGACACTGACTTGTCACAGCACTGGCCACTGAAGACATGTGTTGAGGATTGGTGACCGTGAAATCGTGAATCATGTGAATGTGCATTGTGCAGCAAGCAGTAATTGGTGTCATCAGCCTCGTCTTCTACCTAGTGACCTAAGGCTAATAACAATACAAATTACAAAGTCATCACTCATCAATTTTCGCGATCTTAAACATACGATTCTTCAGACCAAATCCTGTTGATATGAGAGCATGAAAAATTTAAAATTAGGTATAATGTTTTGCGGTGTTTCCATATTAGTGATATTACCACCACAAGAGCTCATTATCCTCATGTTTACAGGTTCATGTGTACAGTGTACACCACACGGTGACCACTCCTAAATCCTAATTTCATGCTGAGTGTCAGCATCCGCGACTGTGACGCTGCCATCACAGTTCACCGAAGTCCGAAGTCCGAACACCAGAAGGGACGACTGAAATAACCCAGCATTGCCCAATACCAGCATAATTTTCATACTTCACCCCGTGCGCAAGCATGCTGCAGAGCAAATTAGCCAAAATAGTCAGGGCAGCCACTGCCATATTGGCGAAAACGATAATTGATAGCAATTATCATCCATTATATAAACAAATCTTGCATAATTTTTTTCCATACATAATAAGATTTTTTAATGCAAGTGCCATTTCGACATAACACTATAGAGCTACTGAATAGTTGGTGAATTAATAGCACTAACTCATATATTGTCGAGCCCCGCTGCTGCTTCTGCACTAATGCTTCACTCCGCTCGGCTGTACGCATTGTTCCCATCAATAAAATGTTCAGGTTGCACGAAACATACCATTTAGAGATTTGCACTGCATGAGACAAATTCGTTGTACTCGCATTCATTACATTTGTTATTGCTTCCTCCTCAACTTAGATTTCCCAGGTTAGTTTGATTAACTTGGATTACAAAGCTCATATGTGACAGTTCCACAGTATAATATTAATTGAAGTCACTGATATCGATTGACACAATAAATAATTTATTCGAATAAATTTACAGGTGATTGTTTGGGTCCTCAGGGGGCTATATTTTGCTGAAATAAATAAATGTAAACGAATTATTTATTAATTTATAGGTTAGTATTTTTCACTTGCGTAACATTGCAA